TTCCTCCTCTTCTTATTCCTTATAGCTATTATAATTATAAAAGCATTATAGATTAATATATATATTAAAGTCTTTAGGTATGCAGATTTCAAACTCTAATAGTCCTTTACTATTTATATCTCCTTTAATATACCTAAGGTTAATTAGATTATAAGTTTATTACTATTCTATTTAAATTATATTATTATATTCTTTCTTAGCTTCTTTAATTAATTATTAAAACTGCTAAATTTCTTTATAAAGTTTCTTTATTTTATAGATTTATTAGTAATAAGATATGCTAAATTATAATTCTACTACTTTAAGGTTCTTATACTATCAATATACTAGGTATCCTTTTATCTCTATTTTCTAGTAAGGATTGCTATTAGGTATGCCAGGAATTATAATAGAAAAGCAATTATTATCTTCCTTTTTTTATTTATATTCCTTATATTAATAGTATTTATATAATAGCTATAATAGTTTACTATATTTTAGATAGGTTAGAAATGTTTTTATAGTATCTTTAGTATTAAATTTTAGCTCCTTATAATAAGGGTTTATAATATCTGCTATATAGTAAGCCTAGATATATAAGCTTTTAAGTTTACTGCTGCTGCCATGTTCTCTAGCTCCTTATAGATATCTATCTTCTATTAAGGTATATATCCTGCTATTATTTTTATTAAATAGTAGTTTATAAGGTTACTTCTACTTATTCTTAATTTATTTATCTTTATTGCAGAGGTATTATGCAGTATTTCATGCCGCTCTTCCTCTATATCCTATACTTCGGGAGTATTATTAGTAATATATACAGACCTTATCTCCTACTTTGCATTCCTTTTTCACTATTTCTTCTTTTTCTTAAATAGTTATTAAGATAGTATTAATTATCTTAAATACTTTAGGTTGTTTTCCTGTATTAGAGATAGTTCCTGTTTCTTATAGGTTTTTTAGGTATTCCTTAATTTCCTGCTTTAAGGGTTTTTCTTCCCTTATTATCCTAAGAGCCTTAGTTTATTCTATCTTCTTGCGTTTCTTTTCTTCTTTTCTCTTAAGGTAGTAAGTATAGTCTTTTTCCTTTTCCTATTATTAGTTTTCTAGGTTCTTTTACTATTCCTTTTAGTATTTAATTGCCTTTATCTTATATAGTATTAGGATTTAAGGTATATTTCCTACTTTAGTATCTTCTTTTATTAAAAACTTTTCTTATAATTTACAGATCGAGCTATTTAGATATAGGTACTATCTATATTTTAATATAGTTCCTTTATATAGTACTATTATATTATATAGGCTTTATATTATTCCTAATACTTAGGTTTATATAGCAGTTTAGGGTTCTTATTTATTAGTTACTGCTAGTATCTATTTACCTTAATTAAGGTTTCTAGGCTTTCTTAATTAAGGATATTTATTAGCTATATATTTAAACTGGTTATAGTTATAGTATTTAACCTTAAATATATCGCAAGGTCTTTTATTATTATTGCATTATATTACCCTAAGTACTATAGGTCCTGGTTTAGTTTTATATTATATATTAATATATCTTTTTCTTCCTTAATTAGCATTCTATTATCTATTAGTATTCTATCAGGGGTTATATAATCCTCTATATCTTTTTACTTATCTTTCTCTATATTATTTATACTGCTAGTTATTAATTTCTATAATATTATTTACAAGCTTATTTAAGTTGTTAGGTTTAGGCCTAATATTAACTATAGTATCCTTAACTTCTGACTTTAGCCTTAAGTATACTTATACTATATAGGCTTCTTCTCTTTAATTAAGCTTAGCTACTTAGTAATAGTATTCTGCTAAGTAGTTTATAGCAAATCCTCTCTATCTAAGTTATTATATTTTTATTTCTATAATATGTTTTTTATTTATTACTTTAAAGGTATTTTTAAGTTTTAATTTAAAATTTTTATATTTCTTATAGATATATCTTATTATTTCTTATTATTCTTTATATAATTTACTAATATAGTCTTAAATAATAGGTTTTATTAGTTATAGCGCTTTATCTTTAAGAAATCCTATACTATATTAAACTCTTAGTTTATTAGTAATAAACTAGATAGGGTAGTATATCTAGTAGCTCTAGAGGCTAGTAAGGAATCCTTAAAGTTTATTAATATTACTATTAAATAGTTTAGGCTGGCAAGATTAAAGGATTTCTCTAAGGTCTTTTCTAATTACTATAAGGGCTATAGTATATTTAATATACTCCTTATAAAGTTTCTAACTATTTTCTACTTCTTTTTTAAGTACTTCTGTAATCTTAGTAAGGTTAGCTACCTTCTTTTCTAGGTTTTCGATTTTATTTTTAGCTATATTAAAGCTATTCTTTACATTCTCTAAGAGGTTGTTATATTACTGGCTAAGATATTTAAGTCTATATTTAAGTTTCGCGACTTCCCCTTTATAGGTACTTAAATAAGCAGGGGTAATATCTTCTTTATTTTTATTATTAGTCTCTATAAGAACATCTTCTAGGTTAGGGGGTATCTCTTGCTATAGGTAGTGCTAGGTATATCTTAAGTTAAAAGGCTAGATTAGAGTAGTAAGTGCTATTATATTAGTATTGCTTAGTATTATATAATATATTTTAAATAAGAGCTATTAATATATAATAATTAGGTTTTCTAAATAGGTAAACTAGTCTATATTAGGTTTATGTTTATAGGTTATATAAGGCATAATACTAAGCATTATAAAGTATTATATCTCTTAATAATTAAGTAATATAGGCTAGGCTTATTAATATAAAGATGCTTTATTAATAGCTAGTAAGCTAAGTTTTATAAAAGTGCTAATAAATATATTCTATATACTAAAGGTAGCCTAATAGCTTAGTAAGGAATAATAGTAATCTAAAGGTTAGATCTTAGGGGATTATTAGTAATCTATAGTAATCTAGCCTTAGAGCGTTATAATCTAAGTAATCTAATAGAAGAGGATTATTACTAGGAGAAGTAATCCTCCTGTAATAGGTGGAAATTGTAGGGCCCACGTGACGTAGCCGCATGGGTCGTAATATTGGAAAACCTAACTATTATAAAATTATTAAGAAGTAGTAATTAAGGAAGTTTAATATAATTAAGGGAAAGGTATTATAAAATATATAGGAAGACTAAGTATTATATAAGAACCTATTAAGTAATAATTAAGATATTTAGGGAAGAGAATAATAAGTAGTTTTAATTAATTAAATAGTTTATTATGTTTTTATAATAGTTTATTTTTTAAAGGGTAAGATTTCTAGCCTACTTATTTATCTGGCCTACTTGCTTATTATACATGTTATTATAAGCTATTATATAATATTAATACTTTCTTTAAACTCCTTTATTTTATATTAGTAATTTAAGTTAAATATAACTTAAATATAATAAGATATATAATTATAGCTATTACTAAACTTTATAAGTTAAAAACACACTTTAGTTAGTTATAATAAATTAATTTATATTTATAAACCTCATTACCTAATAATTATATAAAAAAATAACCTTAAAGTAAATTTACTATATAATTACTAATATTATAACTTTATATATTAATATAAGTATTAATTAATTTATAAGTATTTCTTTTATATTCTTAGTTATTTTAAACTTATTATAGCTACTATAGTGCCTAAAATGCTAATTATTAGCACCTACTTATTTTAATTATTATAATACCTATATCTTACTAGCGCCATGAAATTTCCCATACAAATTTAATCATCGGCAGGCTGTCGACGCAAACAATGGTCTCAGGCGTTGCCAACGCCGACCTTATCTACCTCATCGCCGCAGCCGAGGCCGTCGTTAGGGGCACATATAAGCTCTGCAGCAATAGGTTACTTGGCCAGAAGATGACACAGCAGCAGGCCAAGAGGCTAGGCGAGATTCGTGAAACTGGTGGCGGGCTCCGGAGCTTGAAGAAGAAGTCCTCCTTCATATCATACTTCCGGAGGATAAAGTAGCTTCTCGCATACTAATACTGGGTTGTATTACTAATTAGGAAATATAAATATTACAGGAGGGGCGAGACAAGACCAAATAAGGATAATGCTCCCTCTCTCCTCTCTTCTAGCAAAGACTTTTACACAAAGGTACCTCAACTTATTAACAGCAATTATCTCCACCCTCTCAGGAAGACCTCTACACGCGTGTCTGGATACGTTCCGGCTCGGTGTGGGGCAATAAATTAACACATATCAGAGTGAGGGTGCGTTCAGCTGCGTTATAAGGAACGCTATATAAGTCTTTCTATCTTTTAATAGACATAAGCAAGTAATAATGCCTGTGCCGTCTTCTTTTTTCTTCTCTTAGCAGCAGGAGCAGGGATCGACATCCCTCCCGCTCTAAGAGCTTCTGCTGTCAGACGGCACAAGGAGCTAGCCCCCATCGTGGCTATGCTAACAGGAGGCTAGCTACCTGTTATCTGTACCCGCCGTCTAACAACTAGTTCAGAGCGAGGCAGGGTTAGTCCCTAGACAGTTAAGGGTTACTGTCTGTCAGCATGCATTTGCCCCCACTGTTATATTCTCAGGAGATTTTTTAGCGCTGGGGTTCTGTATATAGAATAAGTATCTGCATTAGCCTAAAAGGGAATTTTTTTAGAATTTTAGAATTTTAGAATTATTCCTCTTTTTATCCCCTTTGCTTTACTTATATATATAGATATTATATTAAATAGATAGATTAGTACTCCTCTGCTATGTTGGGGATTGCTGTAATGTTATCCTAATACGATGTCAACGTTAAGAGTCGTCTCTCTCAGCACACAGATGCTAGCAAACCACCTGGCTAGTGCAGAATTGCGGGAGAACTATTCCCAAATAAGACCTTAGTAGAAATAATAGACCGGGCGCTGAAGTCAGCAAACCCTTCTTCCGCTCAGAGAGCCCGCTGACGGTGCCCCATTAGGACTAGTGCACGTCAGCGGGCACCAGGCAAAGGTGACAACTAGACCTGATTTGCCTCGGGCAAGTTGCAGATGCACGCCTGTTACCTCGTGAGTTTGTATTCTTAGAAGGCCATGAGAGGAGAGGAAAAGGGGGATCACGCAGTAGTCGAGCTAACTAGTATATTCTCTCAGTCAACTTCTCGTATGATATCCGCGTAAGCCGCGAGGATAAATTCTTCATCGTCCCCGCCACAGCCTGTGTTCCTCAGACCTCCATTATTGAGTACTCGACAACCACACTCGACTGGCTTAACCTTAATTAATTTCCGATATGGCGTCAAATCTCTTCTTTGTCTATATTCTCTGCATTCTCCTTGCAGGTTTCTCCTCTTTCGTGAGAGCCCAGTTTCTTCTCAAGTATCCTTCGTCGATTGCCGACAGCAATGTTGAAAAACACATCGATTTGACGAGTTGTATGTATGTCATCACCCAAGCATTTGCTGGCTGGCAAACCCGATATGTCACTGTACCTGCAAACAATCACATTCGTTGGGGACAAAAGAAGTGCGTTTTGCAGATCAACAACAACAACCCGCATGCCTTCGTCGTGAAGGGCGGTGACCTCGCTCGAGGCCTCGTCCAATTGACGGTCGTCGCCGGAAGCAGCAGTCCTTTTGGGTCCAGCGCGATGTGGCTAGGCGCCTTCCCTGCAAGCCCAGTTTTGACGATCGCTCATTCTAATCGATTCGGCGGGGATGTCGGCAACCCCGTGACGCGGCGGGATGCAGTTCCTTTTCCGGAGCTGGATCCCAGTACGACGCATGCGAATCCGGCGACAAATGACTTTGCCGCATATTTAGCCGGCATTGATTTCGAGGACCTGCGGAATAACTCCACCGCCAGTGCTGCCAGCGACCCTACGGGGGGCGAAGAGAACGCTTCTGCCGTTCGTCGAAGACGCTCGGATGAGCCACACCAGCTGGTCAAGCGCGCTTACAGAACGGCGCACTGTGCCGGAGAGAAGGATGTGCTCAACGACAAGATCAAGCAATGCGACTGCAAGGACGGGACTCGAGATATTGGCAGGTTTGAAGTAACGTGCCACGGTGAGAGGTCAATGCATCACGGATGGACACTGGACAAGATGCGAAACACTGTGGGCTCGCTTAGGGGCAGGATTGAGCATCTGTTGACAACCCGTTGGGACAGACGACTTTTCTCAGTCTACGGCCAGAAACACCCCGGCGGTGTTTTGCTAACGCCAACTGCGACAAGATCCCGTCCTGATCATAATGATGCAAGGTGCTGCGAGCTGCTACTTAATCAGGTTGCCGGTGAGATGGGCTTTGCCCCAGCGTCATGCACTTGCGAGCCAGTAACCGTTAACAAGGCATGGCATATGATGGTTACCGATACACTTAATTATCCGATCGCTGGGTAGGGTTAGATATTGATGCCGACTGCCTCTGTCATATAGGCGAGATGCCAGGCATAGGTTTAAAAGCGGCAGTAGATGTATATATGTATATTTTTCGTCCAGGGGGCCTTCGGCCCCGAAATGTCCCTACTAGGGTACGGGATATGCTAAGCTACGGGAATTAAGATCTATCTCTATGCTAAATATAAAATACTATTAGCTAAAAGAGAATTAGTTATTTACAATATAAAATTAAATTCCTGTGTTAGAATGTAGCTTTTATAAATATATTAATAGATATATATTATTTAGTATATTATTAATAAAAAAAGATATATTATATTAAGCCTATTACCTATTAGTAAGATAACTAATTATAGTTAAGAAATAATAATAGTAAGATAAGCCTATAATTAGGCAGGCTATAATAATATTATAATTATAATAGCTTAAGGCTGCCTTAAGTAATTATAGTTAAATAGAGTGTATTATAATATCTACTATTTAGCTAAGCCTAGGTATAAAAAAAGCTTATAAAGGATAGGAAAAGAGAAAAAGATAAATAAGAGAAGAGATATAATGTTACGACCCCAGCAGTCCCATTACGTATACCCCACATTTTCTACCAATTATCGCATGCCCTATATAACAGATTAGTGCCAAGACTCTACAATTATAGATAATCTGTTACAATCAGTACTAATCTAACATAATTACCACTAATCCTATAATAGCCTTACTAATTACTATTATTATTTACTAGTATATAAACTACATTTATTAGCACTTTTATAGAACTTAGCTTACTAGCTATTAATAAGACCTCTTTACCTTAATAAGCCTAACCTATACTATTAACTATTAAGAAATATAATACTTTATTATTACTTAGTATAATGCCCTATAACTCTATAAACATAAAACCTAATATAGACTAGTTTACCTATTTAAAAACCTTAACTATTATACATTAATAGCTCTTATTTAGAACATACCGCATTAATAACTAAGTAATATTATACTATTAAGATATCTAGCAACACTAGCCTAGCACCTCCTTATACTAAAGCACTACCTAGCGCTATTAAGATAATGGCAGAAGTCTAATAACTTTATAATACTATCCGCACTCTACAGGCTTAGGTAAACGCATGTCCTGCTGCAACTGTTAACAAAAGCAGCAATAAACAGGACCTAGGCAAAGCACTCAAGCCCCTTAAGCCAGAACCCTTTAGAGGCTAAGCTGCTGATATGATCCTATTCCTAACCTGAATAAAGGCTTACTTCTGCCTCTATAAGAATAAGCTAAACACCCCTATAAAGAAACTCCTATATACTATAAGCCTAATTTAAGGAGACGTAAAGGATTAGTTTAAACCTATCCTAAGAGACTTCCTCGAAAATAAAGAAGAATAATAAGACTAGGATACCTAAAACATTTTCAGAAACTAGGGAAATTTTAAATAAGCCCTTAAAGATAACTTTAAAGTAATTAATAAAGAACGGCAAGCCGCAGTAGAGTTACTTGCACTTAAATAAACCAAGTTATATGCCGCCTACTCCGCCAAGTTCTAACAGCTTGCATCTAAGACCGAATAGGATAATAAAGCCTTAATGGAAATCTACTATAGAGGATTAAAGGAAGAAGTTAAGGATAAACTATACCTAGCTAACAGACCTAAAGAAGGTCTAACTATATATATTATTATAGCAATTAAGATCGATAAACAATAGTATAAATGTAGAAAAGAGAGAGCTAACTATAAATAAGGCAATAACTTTAACTTATATTACCCTAACTAGTAATATAATAATAATAATTAGGGTAACTCTTAAAACTAAGGCCAATAATAAAGCAATTACTAGAACGATACTTTATATAAAACCTAAGCAGGACCTATGGCACTTGGAGCCACGCAGCAAGGCAACAAAGGATAACGGGATATATCACGATGCAAATGCTACAACTACAACCAATTCGGGCATATAGCGCGACAATGCCCCAAACCGCAGAAACCCTGATAGCAAAAACAAGGTAAGCAACCCCTCGGACTAACTAAAGTATTAGGAATGACCTGAAGTAGATACGACATAATCCCGCATTATGAGTTGATTTTCGTAGAACCGCCACCTGAGATAACAGGAAGAAAAAGAAACGAACTACTCATAGATGAAGAGGAAGAACGGCGAAGACTCCGCAGAAACGAAATCAATAACAACTACTATTATCGAAAGATAAAGGATCCGGAATAAAAAGAATATTTCTGACAGAGGTAACGAGAAAGATGCCAGAAACAAAAAGAAAACCAGAAAGAGGAAGATAAACTCGGAAAACCGGAAGCATTGGGAATGATACGACAGGGAAAAGCAATCACCCCTAACACGGAGGAACAAGCTCAGGCATCTAAACAGACAGATAACACCCCTACCAAGACAATCACCCAAAGAGACAGAACAACCCTTACGGTGAACACCGAAAGAGGATATATCGCCAGGTACGAAATGCCTAGATTCGCCAAAACCGAAAACCAAGGAAAGGATAAACCTGTAACCCCCAAACAAACCAATATCACCACAGCCAAATCATCTGAGGCAATAGACGATATCCCTTTCAGAACAACCCTACGAGCAACAGAGAAAGCGGTTAGAAAAGAACGAAGGGCTAGAGACGAGATCCACACCTACCACCACCGCCATGCCCGGAACATGGGACATAGGGGAGGAGCAGCCCGAAACACCGCATGATATCTCTGCAAGGAAGACGAACGAATTGAAAACAAATGGAAGCAACCCTATAACCCATTGTTCGACAAATAGGGCAACAGAATGTATACCTCGCCAGAAGATAGGTGCATATAAGGAGCCAGGGAACACAGAAACACCAACAGAATTAAAATACTAAACGTCAGAGCCTACTACATAATGGATGCTATAGATCCTTACTAGAAAGAACCAAAGTTCGATATTAAGGATAACGTAAAGACATTCCCAACTTATCCAGAATATAAAGAACTATCTTGGTTATCATGCAAATACCATTGGTGCAGGATACACAGGCAAGATAAAGAAGATAACGACTGTTTCCCAGTTATGATCCCCGGCACGCCTAACGATAAACCTTACCTAAGGATAGAAATAGAAGGATACCTAGTATATTTTTGGTACGAACACCTTAGAGTAGCAGAACTACGGTTTAACATGCCTTACTACCGACAAATTCATAAAACAAAGAAGCTCCATAAAGGGATCTGATAATCTCAACGAATGATCGAAGAAGCAGAAGAAGAATTCGACAAGATCACCTAAGGAAAATACGCCTACCTAAAGACAGAAGCTAATTAAGAAGACCAGCTGGAAGAAACCAGGAAACAACAACAGGAATAGGAGAGAGAGTATCAGGAACTAATCAACAACAGACAATACAATCACCTGATAGAAAACCTATGCAGCGACCCTGTGGATCTCTAACGACTCAATGAAATTACAATTACTAAAGATACAGGTAATAACGAACAATCCGGATAAGGAATCACACTAGACGAACAAGATGCAGAATTAGAAGAACACCTCTAGCAGCTATTACATGACAGAGAATTTGAGAATAACTGCACCAATAGAGAAGGATACTATAATAATAACTGCAAACGAATTTACCGAGATATATTAGGAAAAGAGAAACGCTATCTATAATAGAGCTATAGATGCATAAAGTATAAAGATAAAAATAACTTAGACTAACAAGTGCTCTAGGAGCTATGCAAGATAGCAAGCCTAATAGCCTAGTACTAAAAGTTCAGATTAAGGGGAGATGGCTAAATGCTTAGATTAATTGTAGAGCTAAATATAACTTTATTAACCTAGACCTAGTTATAGAGCTTGGATTACTATAGAGAAAAAAGCAAGTCCTATACCTAATTATTAGCATAAAGGGATAACCTTTTAACTATAATAATAGCATAGTAGATTAAGAGATTGATTACCTTAAGGTCCTTATCTAGGGGAAAAATCAAGGAATGGACCTAGATATTATTCCCCTACTACTAGATATAGACATTATCCTCAGTATGCTATAGCTTAGATAAGCAAACCTACACATTAACTAGCCAACTAGCTAAGTTACTCTTCGCAGTAACTCAGATAGCGATAATAAGATAATCACAATGAACAACAAGAGATCTCAAACCCTAACTAAAGATAATAGCATAGGTACGCGCGAAGTAAAGAATTCGCCAACTCCAAAAGGAGCATAACATAAGTATATAAAAGGCAGGAAACAACGAAATCAACAAGCCCTAGGTCTTATTAGACATTAACTACATGACCTAGATAAATAACTAAAATATTAAAAGTAACTTAAAGAATAAGAATAACAGGATCGACTTAAGAACATCCTAAGGGAGTATTATATTTATAAAAAACTATTTAAAGAAGAACTTAAGATAAAGGTACTGCAGTATAGCTATTAGGATTACGAAATATAGCTTAAAACAGACAACTTGCTATTCTAGAAGATTTATAATCTTAATAAGAAAGAACTTACTACCTTAAGGGATTACCTAAATACAGAATTGGCAAAAGGGAACATTAGGATATCTAACTTAGTAGCAGGATTTCTAGTAATATTTATCCTAAAGAAAAATAAAAAGCTATAACTTATTATAGATTACAGGAGGTTAAATGCCTTTATAATTAAGGATAAGACCCTACTTCTACTTATTACAGAACTTAAAGACTGCCTGCAAGGCAAATAGATCTTTACTACTTTAGACCTTAAAGGCACTTATAACCTAATCTGCATTAAAGAAGGAGATAAATAAAAGATAGCATTTAAAACCAAATTTAGGCTCTTTAAATATTTAGTAATGCTATTTAGACTTACTAATATACCTATAATATTTTAGTAAATAATTAATAATATACTTTAATAATACTTAAATATCTTTATAATATACTACCTAGATAATATCCTAATTTTCTTAAATAATAAAGAGAAATATAAGGAATATATTTATAAGGTCTTAAAAGCCCTATAAGATATTAACTTACTAGTTAAACTAGAAAAGAATTACTTTTATATAAAAGAAGTAGACTTCTTAAGATATACTATTATACCTAGAGAAATTAAGATAAAATAAAAGAAAATCTCAGCAGTAGTAAATTAGCCCTTACTAATAATAGT